GCGATAAGCAACGTTACGTCATACATTATCGCAACCTGCAGCAGTGTACTCGTCACGGCCTCCGTATTGCAAAGATTCACTGTATACTGCAATTCGCGCAATCTCCATGGCTTCACGATTACATAGAATTAAACACAAAATTTAGAACTTTGGCCAAGAACGATTTTGAGAAAAATTTATACAAACTTATGAATAACGCGGAATTTGGTAAAACCATGGAGAATGTGCGCGATCGCGTCGACGTAAAATTACTGACAAAATGGGAAGGCAGATACGGTGCGGAGGCAATGATCGCCAAACCAAATTTTCACAGTCGCAGCGTCTTCTCAGAGACTCTGTTTGCGATAGAACTGCGTAAGCTCGAGGTGAAGTTCAACAAACCGATATACGTGGGTATGTGCATCCTCGATATATCGAAAACATGTTTTAACGAATTTCGCCACGAGTACATGGCAGAGGTGTTTCGCGAAAAATGCAAAATTATGTATACCGACACAGATAGCCTTATATATCACGTAGAATGTGACGATATCTACGATGTCATGAAACGTGATATAAATAGATTTGACACGAGTGATTACGCAGTTGACAACGCGTACGGTATTCCACTCACAAATAAAAAAGTTCCAAGCATTATGAAAGATGAGAACAACGGTGCCATCATGACCGAATTCGTTGGTCTTAGAGCGAAAATGTATGCCTTGCATGTAGAAGGAAAGAAGGATACAAAAAAGGCTAAGGGCGTCAAGAGCAGCGTTGTAGCAAAACCATTACGTTCGAGGATTACAAGCAGTGCTTGAACGATGCAATCGAAATGACGCGTAGGCAATCGTGCATAAGATCGAAATTGCACGAGGTATACACCATATCGGAAATAAAAATCGCTCTAAGTCCGCACGATGATAAGCGGTATATCGTTCCAGGTTCAACCGACACGCTGCCATGGAGACATTACCGATATAAATAAAACACAGTTGTATTATATATAATATGTTTAATATGTACATAACATGTATGATATGTATAATATATAATATAATATAATATATATATGAATATGTAAATATAATATGCGCATATGATATTTATAATATGCATAATACGTATTTATATCTTGTATAATAAATATGCCTTACAACATATTGTCTTTATGTATCCACGAATTGTGCGAATTATAAAATCCCAACCATTTCACGTAAACCTCGTTCCCTCTCTTGCGCAACACCTTTTTGACGAGATGCACGTCGGGATTAGCGTCGCGATGCAATTCATATTCGTAGAAGCCTCCAGCGATAGACTCCCCCCGAGAAACTTCCAATAGATACGTCACTGGATTAGTTTGCTGCACTTTGATAATTTTAAAGACCTCCGTAGCCCAATTCGGCGTGTATCCCTTATCAAAGACTGTCTTGAATTTGCTCACGCGTACCGAATCACGCACTTTGTATCGCGCGAGTGCGGCAATCTTTACGCGATTGTAAACCGCGGTTAAGTGTCTATCTGCGATCACGGGGGTAACGTCGACGGGACGCATACCGATAGTTCGATGCTTGCGTGCGTTGTAATTTGATACGAGACGCGGCAGGATATCAATCCATTTATAATTTCCGTTGTGCGTAAATTGTTTCCACATGTCATTGTTCAACGTACGGTGTAACCGTTCGACGACTGACGCCTTCAATACGGAATACGTAGAATAATGGTTGATGTTGTGCTTCTTCAAGAGTTTCTGCACATCCGAGTTATAAAATTCCTTTCCTTTGTCGGTCTGCAAATTTTTCGGTCATCTTTTATCGTCTCGAATTATCTTTGCGATCGCATTCGTCACATCGTTTCCACTCTTGGCTTTAAACGGCACGGCCCATGCATGCTTACTCAGCACATCGATAATGGTGAGAATGTAATGGTAACCTCTGTTGATTCGTGTATATGGATGCATCTCGACCACATCCGCCTGCCACAGATCGTCGTATCCATGTACTATGACGTGTCTTCGCGGAAAATTTCTCCTCGCCGGAGCGTGCAATTCATTAACCAGCAGCTGTTTCTCAGACATTGCAAATGATTAATCGGCACGATGCACTTCTCGAATCGTCTTTTCAAATTCTTTTAGCAAAACCTGCACATTATTTTGTAAAGCTGCAATCTTTCTCTCGATTTCATTCAGACGATCTTTCAAATCTTGAACACTCTGCTGCACGTATCGCTTGTTTGCTGCGTCAGCATCATCTACCGGTAGCGCTACTCGTCGAATTTTGCGCGACTTTGCGTCAAAGTCGGCTCCGGCTATGCAAAGAGCGTTATCGCGCACGTAATTTCTGAGCAATCCACGCCATTAATAGTACGATTCGCTTCCTCCTCCTCCAAGCGATAGTCCAAATTTGTTGATCGGCATTGCGATGTCAACTGAACGATGTGCGTAGAACGAGGTTAATTTATAATCAGACCGGCTTCGCGAAGCTCTTCGATAATTGACAAAATATCGTTGTCGTGACCATTGTGACCAGCCTGGCGCGAGGCCTCGAGTAATCGCAGACGATCGACAATTTCGTTGAGATCGTCCCAATGGATATAGTCGATCTTGTTATCGTTTTGTGTCATTGTACGCGGTAAATCC